GGCCGTCATCCCGTGCCACCCCAGCGCGTGGCCTGCCCCCCGCGTCACCTGGAGCGGCCCCAACGGCACCATCGGCCCCGACTCCTCCGCCAGGTGGACCCGCCACGTGTGTGCGAGCGACGTGCCCGCGGGGCCTACCCCTAGGTCGACTCGGCCTCGAACGAGTACTCCGGTGCGGTGTGTCAGAGGAGGAAATATGTGTTTATGCTGGAGGCAAATCCGATAAGCTATGAAGCTCTTGATACCCGCCCCCTCCCGCCACAAAGATGTCGAGTAAGGGGCCACGGTGTCAGACAATTTCCAACGACTAACAACAACCACGCTGATAAAATAAGTATAACCAGTAAAAATAAAGTTTTTCACTATAAATCCTTTATATGCGTGGCGGCTAGAGTCCTCTCGTCCTCTGGCTTGAGATGGCTGCCACCTATGGGTCAGATGATTGTCTGCAGTATTAAACAATTGGTAATTAAATATTTAATTTGTTTTCCCTAAACAGTGTAAAATTTTGGAAAAAACTTTTCACGAACATTAATTGTCTCGCACAACGAGTCTGTGTGCAAAATGTCAGCTCAATTGGATCACGGGAAGTGGGTTAAAAAACGACCGAAAGATTTGCACGGTCGTAAGCAAGCAAGCAAGCACGCAAGCAAGCAAGCGAACTTAATATAAAGGATTTAAAAACAATGATCATATTTTTTACTGGAAAATGAGGTTCCAATGGTGGGAACAACCACACTCTCGAATTATAGGCAAGCTAAACACATCAACAAAACCAAAATACTAAATACAAAAATACCCCCCCAAAAAAATGTAAAGAAACCCCCCAAAAAAGCCCAAAGACCCAATTATGAAAGGGTACCTGGTGTGCAACGTGTAAACATCGCCACTTGTGGAGAGACAAAGACGGCCGGGCGTGGTGCTGGCCACCCAACCCCGCGTGTGCCACCGTGCCGGCCTTCGTAGGTGCTGCTGCTCGCTAACAGCACTTGCCCCGACAGTCTGCTAAGGCTACACGGACGATGGGGATCTTTTGTCTTTGGGGCCGTCCATAAATGACGTCACGCGATTTTTGACGATTTTTTACCCCCCCCCCCCTCGTCACACGGCGTCACAAAAAGTCAGACCCCCCCTCAAATATGACGTCACAAAGCTCTGCCCCCCCCCTCCCCAAAACCACATTTCCATTTTGAAAATAAAACATGCTTCAAATCGCTTCAAACTGTTGTCATTGTAGTGCGTATTTAATGTGGCGCTGCACTCTGATGTTGTAGAAGAAAACATTTATCAAAAAGTCGATTTAATTAAGTAGAACGTGTTGTCTATATTTATATATTAAAGTTGCGCATTTTGATGCGACGTCACATATCTCAACCCATCGTCACAAATGTCTGACACCCCCACCCCACCCCCCTCGGTGCGTGACGTCATTTATGGACGCCCCCTTTTGTTGTGGTGTACGCAGGCTCCGCGTGCTCGAGGACGGGAGCCTGATGTTCGCGTCCGTGGCGAGCGGAGACGCGGGCAGCTATTCCTGCACGGCGCACAATGTGCTGGGACAGGCGCGGAGCGCTGGGACACTCACCGTGAAAGGTGCGCGACTGCACGGAGGCAAAGACCCCCCAAATATACCCTTGAACAGACGGTTCGTGGCAAGTGTTGTGAGCGAAGCAGTAGCAGCACCTACGAAGGCCGCCAAGGCACGACGCAGTTGTTTACGCACCGGGTAATCATTTGAGGCTGAGTCGACCTAGAGGAGGTCCAGGAGCAACACATACACACAGAGAGAGAGAGACAAGTAGCCGCCGTGTACAGCGAGACGCTACACAGTCCGTGGTGCTGGGTGTAGAATTTGTATCATCACAACAGGGCTAGGAGATGTTAACCACCTCGCCTAGTGTACAAAAGGGCGTGGGTTCGATCCTGACCCTGACGCCTGCTGCTGTATGTTTGGAGTTTGCGTGTCTCTCTCTCTCTCATCATCATCATCATCACGGTGGCTAGGAGATGTTAACTACCTCGCCTGGTATACAGGAGGTCGTGGGTTCCATCCCGACCCTGACGCCTGCTGCTGTATATTTGGAGTCTGCGTGTCTCTCTCTCTCATCATGACCACGGTGGCTAGGAGATGTTAATTACCTCGCCTGGTGTGCAGGAGGGCGTGGGTTCGATCCCGACCCTGACGCCTGCTGCTGCATATTTGGAGTCTGCGTGTCTCTCTCTCTCATCATGACCACGGTGGCTAGGAGATGTTAATTACCTCGCCTGGTGTGCAGGAGGGCGTGGGTTCGATCCCGACCCTGACGCCTGCTGCTGTATATTTGGAGTCTGCGTGTCTCTCTCTCTCATCATGACCACGGTGGCTAGGAGATGTTAATTACCTCGCCTGGTGTGCAGGAGGGCGTGGGTTCCATCCCGACCCTGACGCCTGCTGCTGTATATTTGGAGTCTGCGTGTCTCTCTCTCCCCGTGGTCGCGTGGATTTTTCTCCGGGTCCTCCGCTTTTTCCCCTGCACATTGAGAATCGACGTCACGCGATTAAAGTATTTGGCCGCTGCTCGAAATTTCCACGCGGCGATGATGATGACAGCCGCTATCATCTGTGAGCTCACAGGTCGCTTCTAAAAAATAGTTATGTAGCTCAGTGGGGCCTTACCTGGGAAAATACAAAAAGTGAATATCAATTACTTATTTATTTTATCCACACCCCCCACTTCACCCCCCCCCCCCAACTCCCATCCCCCCTTTTACTGGACGTGTGGCAAAGAGCTTCATAGCTCATCGGTTCCTCCTCCTGTACAATATGAAATAAATACCATTGATGATAAGATACAGTAGATAAGATAAAGTAAAAGTATATTTCTATTTAAAGCTTTCGTGACTGCAGGGATTCATCTTCTTGGTTATTTCGGTAAAGTCACGTAGAAGGGAAATAATAAAATAAAATAAAACATAATAAAATACAATTCTCACGACGTTTCGGCCACAACGCAAGCATCCGTCATCAGGTGAAGAACAAGGCTGTCGGAACAGGGCTGATAATACAAAATAAATATAATGATGATAACATAAAACAAATATCATTGATGATCATTTTTAAACAAAAAAACCATTGCAGAGGCGACCCGCATCACGGCTGCCCCCAGCGGGGGGCTGGTGGCGTTCGGCCACCGGGCGGTGTTGTCGTGCCGCGCCTCCCACGACCCCTCGCTCCGCGTCGCCTTCCTGTGGAGCCGCGGCGAACACCACCTCGGAGGCAGCGGCAGGAGGGAGCAGTTCACGCACGCGGGCATGGTGAGCTGTGGCAGGGCATGGTGAGCTGTGGCAGGGCATGGTGAGCCGTGGCAGGGCATGGTGAGCTGTGGCAGGGCATGGTGAGCTGTGGCATGGTGAGCCGTGGCAGGGCATGGTGAGCTGTGGCATGGTGAGCCGTGGCAGGGCATGGTGAGCCGTGACAGGGCATGGTGAGCTGTGGCAGGGGCATGGTGAGCTGTGGCAGGGGCATGGTGAGCTGTGGCATGGTGAGCCGTGACAGGGCATGGTGAGCCGTGGCAGGGGCATGGTGAGCCGTGGCAGGGCATGGTGAGCTGTGGCAGGGCATGGTGAGCTGTGGCAGGGCATGGTGAGCTGTGGCAGGGCATGGTGAGCTGTGGCAGGTGGTGAGCTGTGGCAGGTGGTGAGCTGTGGCAGGGCATGGTGAGCTGTGGCAGGGCATGGTGAGCTGTGGCAGGCATGGTGAGCTGTGGCAGGTGGTGAGCTGTGGCAGGCATGGTGAGCTGTGGCAGGCATGGTGAGCTGTGGCAGGTGGTGAGCTGTGGCAGGGTATGGTGAGCTGTGGCAGGGCATGGTGAGCTGTGGCAGGGTATGGTGAGCTGTTGCAGGTGGTGAGCTGTGGCAGGGTATGGTGAGCTGTGGCAGGGCATGGTGAGCTGTGGCAGGACATGGTGAGCTGTGGCAGGTGGTGAGCTGTGGCAGGTGGTGAGCTGTGGCAGGGTATGGTGAGCTGTGGCAGGGCATGGTGAGCCGTGGCAGGGCATGGTGAGCTGTGGCAGGGCATGGTGAGCCGTGGCAGGGCATGGTGAGCTGTGGCAGGTGGTGAGCTGTGGCAGGGCATGGTGAGCTGTGGCAGGGCATGGTGAGCTGTGGCAGGGCATGGTGAGCTGTGGCAGGTGGTGAGCTGTGGCAGGGTATGGTGAGCTGTGGCAGGGCATGGTGAGCTGTTGCAGGGCATGGTGAGCTGTGGCAGGGCATGGTGAGCTGTGGCAGGGCATGGTGAGCTGTGGCAGGTGGTGAGCTGTGGCAGGTGGTGAGCTGTGGCAGGGTATGGTGAGCTGTGGCAGGGCATGGTGAGCTGTGGCAGGGCATGGTGAGCTGTGGCAGGGCATGGTGAGCTGTGGCAGGGCATGGTGAGCTGTGGCAGGTGGTGAGCTGTGGCAGGTGGTGAGCTGTGGCAGGGTATGGTGAGCTGTGGCAGGGCATGGTGAGCTGTGGCAGGCATGGTGAGCTGTGGCAGGGCATGGTGAGCTGTGGCAGGTGGTGAGCTGTGGCAGGGCATGGTGAGCTGTGGCAGGGTATGGTGAGCTGTGGCAGGGCATGGTGAGCTGTGGCAGGGCATGGTGAGCTGTGGCAGGTGGTGAGCTGTGGCAGGTGGTGAGCTGTGGCAGGGTATGGTGAGCTGTGGCAGGGCATGGTGAGCTGTAGCAGGCATGGTGAGCTGTGGCAGGGCATGGTGAGCTGTGGCAGGTGGTGAGCTGTGGCAGGGCATGGTGAGCTGTGGCAGGGTATGGTGAGCTGTGGCAGGGCATGGTGAGCTGTGGCAGGTGGTGAGCTGTTGCAGGTGGTGAGCTGTGGCAGGGTATGGTGAGCTGTGGCAGGGCATGGTGAGCTGTGGCAGGGCATGGTGAGCTGTGGCAGGTGGTGAGCTGTGGCAGGTGGTGAGCTGTGGCAGGGTATGGTGAGCTGTGGCAGGGCATGGTGAGCCGTGGCAGGGCATGGTGAGCTGTGGCAGGGCATGGTGAGCCGTGGCAGGGCATGGTGAGCTGTGGCAGGTGGTGAGCTGTGGCAGGTGGTGATCTGTGGCAGGCATGGTGAGCTGTGGCAGGGTATGGTGAGCTGTGGCAGGGCATGGTGAGCTGTGGCAGGGCATGGTGAGCTGTGGCAGGGCATGGTGAGCTGTGGCAGGTGGTGAGCTGTGGCAGGTGGTGAGCTGTGGCAGGCATGGTGAGCTGTGGCAGGGTATGGTGAGCTGTGGCAGGGCATGGTGAGCTGTGGCAGGGCATGGTGAGCTGTGGCAGGGCATGGTGAGCTGTGGCAGGGCATGGTGAGCTGTGGCAGGGCATGGTGAGCTGTGGCAGGTGGTGAGCTGTGGCAGGTGGTGAGCTGTGGCAGGGTATGGTGAGCTGTGGCAGGGCATGGTGAGCTGTGGCAGGCATGGTGAGCTGTGGTAGGGCATGGTGAGCTGTGGCAGGTGGTGAGCTGTGGCAGGGTATGGTGAGCTGTGGCAGGGCATGGTGAGCTGTGGCAGGGTATGGTGAACTGTTGCAGGTGGTGAGCTGTGGCAGGGTATGGTGAGCTGTGGCAGGGCATGGTGAGCTGTGGCAGGGCATGGTGAGCTGTGGCAGGTGGTGAGCTGTGGCAGGTGGTGAGCTGTGGCAGGGTATGGTGAGCTGTGGCAGGGCATGGTGAGCCGTGGCAGGGCATGGTGAGCTGTGGCAGGGCATGGTGAGCCGTGGCAGGGCATGGTGAGCTGTGGCAGGTGGTGAGCTGTGGCAGGTGGTGAGCTGTGGCAGGGTATGGTGAGCTGTGGCAGGGCATGGTGAGCTGTGGCAGGGCATGGTGAGCTGTGGCAGGGCATGGTGAGCTGTGGCAGGGCATGGTGAGCTGTGGCAGGTGGTGAGCTGTGGCAGGTGGTGAGCTGTGGCAGGGCATGGTGAGCTGTGGCAGGGCATGGTGAGCTGTGGCAGGGCATGGTAAGCTGTGGCAGGCATGGTGAGTGGTGGCAGGGCATGGTGAGCTGTGGCAGGGCATGGTGAGTGGTGGCAGGGCATGGTGAGCTGTGGCAGGTGGTGAGCTGTGGCAGGTGGTGAGCTGTGGCAGGGTATGGTGAGCTGTGGCAGGGCATGGTGAGCTGTGGCAGGGCATGGTGAGCTGTGGCAGGGCATGGTGAGCTGTGGCAGGGCATGGTAAGCTGTGGCAGGCATGGTGAGTGGTGGCAGGGCATGGTGAGCTGTGGCAGGGCATGGTGAGTGGTGGCAGGGTATGGTGAGCGGTGGCAGGGCATGGTGAGCTGTGGCAGGGGAAGGTGAGCCGTGGCAGGGCAGGCGCGGTGGGCGGCGGCGGTGGTGGGGGGCAGAAGTGAGCTGTAGCTGTGGGCAGCGGAAGGGGTAGTGGGGGCAGCAGTGGGCAAGCTGCAGGAGGTAGTGGCAGTGGGCAGCGGCAGCAGTGAGCATCATCAAATTCAAGTTCATTGATTTGGTATAGCCCTGTGAGCCATTCGGCTCTTGAATCGGGAACAACCGCAACTAACAAAAAACTTAAACATGAACAAGAAAACATCTTAAAGTGAATATGTGACTAAGTGCAAACAGAAAATCCAAGAAAAGACAGCAAAATATTGCAAAAAAGCACCGTACACCAACGCTGTGTGCAAAAATCCCAGTGGGATGCAAGTCAAATAACCAACAACAACCACAAGACAACTTAGATTAAGGCCATCAGTCTAACTCTGTACTACAACAAACAAACATGGCCAAACCAATACACTTTTCGAAATCACCAAAATAAAGCCATGAAAGCAATAAAACAGCAGTAATCATAGGAACTGTGACGGAATTTTCACAATGGCATAAACAACATGTACTACCGAAACGCTGCAGCCATAGCTGGCTGCATGAGTCACTCCACAACAGTGGGCCGTAGCGTGGGCAGTAGCAGGGGCAGTAGCAGGGGCAGCAGCAGTGGGCAGCAGCAGTGGGCAGCAGCAGCGGTGGCAGTGGCAGGGGGCAGCAGAAAGGGGCAACTGCGGTCGTGAATTGTCTAAAGAATCAGCACCGAGGATTCGAAGGCAGCCAAGGCGTGGTGGTGCCGACCACCCACCCTCTCGCGTGCCCCCCAACGTGAGAGGCTACACGGGGGATCTTTGTCTTTGTGCGGCAGGGGAGCTCCGCGTCCGATCTGGTGCTGAAGCCGGTGAGCCCCGCCGACTCGGGGCCCTACGCCTGCACGGCGCGCACAGACGTGGACAGTGCCACGGCCTCCACGTGGCTCAACGTCACCGGCAAGACGCTCACCGTCGCCCCAGAGAGGGCCACTCACAGGGCAGAGAGGACAGTGTTGAGTCTATGGGTAGTGTTGAGTCTATGGGCAGTGTTGAGTCTATGGGCAGTGTTGAGTCTATGGGCAGTGTTGAGTCTATGGGTAGTGTTGAGTCTATGGGCAGTGTTGAGTCTATGGGCAGTGTTAAGTCTATGGGCAGTGTTGAGTCTATGGGCAGTGTTGAATCTATGGGCAGTGTTGAGTCTGTGGGTAGTGTTAGTCTATGGGTAGTGTTAGTCTATGGGTAGTGTTAGTCTATGGGTAGTGTTGAGTCTATGGGTAGTGTTGAGTCTGTGGGTAGTGTTAGTCTATGGGTAGTATTGAGTCTATGGGCAGTGTTGAGTCTATGGGCAGTGTTGAGTCTATGGGTAGTGTTAGTCTATGGGTAGTGTTGAGTCTATGGGCAGTGTTGAGTCTATGGGTAGTGTTAGTCTATGGGCAGTGTTGGGTCTATGGGCAGTGTTGAGCCTATGGGCAGTGTTGAGTCTATGGGTAGTGTTGAGTCTATGGGCAGTGTTGAGTCTATGGGTAGTGTTGAGTCTATGGTTAGTGTTGAGTCTATGGGCAGTGTTGAGTCTATGGGTAGTGTTGAGTCTATGGGCAGTGATGAGTCTATGGGCAGTGTTGAGTCTATGGGCAGTGTTGAGTCTATGGGCAGTGTTAGTCTATGGGTAGTGTTGAGTCTATGGGCAGTGTTGAGTCTATGGGTAGTGTTAGTCTATGGGCAGTGTTGGGTCTATGGGCAGTGTTGAGCCTATGGGCAGTGTTGAGTCTATGGGTAGTGTTGAGTCTATGGGCAGTGTTGAGTCTATGGGTAGTGTTGAGTCTATGGTTAGTGTTGAGTCTATGGGCAGTGTTGAGTCTATGGGCAGTGTTGAGTCTATGGGTAGTGTTGAGTCTGAAGTACTCTTGAAGACGCTTGGACACCGTTGTAAGGCACACGTGTTTATTTACACAATGGTCGTACAGTACTAGAGGGGTGTATCGGCCCCCTCACCCGTATAACTGGGGATACACCTCTAGCTATCCTTCCTACCCCGAGTCCTCCACTAACGGGCTAGGGGAGGCTGTCTGGCCCGACACTGGTCAGTCGGGCTACGGTACCCGGAGTCCCAGAGTACTAACTCTGGTTCACGGGACCACGCCACTGGCTCCAGCCTGCGCTGCCCTGATAAGGGCGGCGTCCCAGGGGGAGTCCAGGGCCTATCTGGTCGGTCTTCCGTCTTCCCCTAATTACTCTAAGACTGAACCCCGAGCTCTCTGGCTCATCCCTTTTTATACCCCCCTAGAGGATCACAACCCCCCTCACGCCGTCCGGTGCGGACGTCGTTGCGGGCACCACCCCGTGTACTGGCGGAGTCCCCGCCCACTGTGTTTGTTATCCGTTAGCTCCTATGCAAACAGCCCTACACAAACAGCCCCTCTGTAACAGCCCTACATCACCCCCCCCTGTACAGCTCGCAGCCGTCCCGGCTGCAACAACTTCAATAAAGGTTAATTAACCCCTTGATCTCCGCGTGTGCCTCAAAAAAACGTTTTTAACGATAACATGAAGGGAACAACAACAACAACAACAACAAAACCCAACAAACCCCGAAGGGAAACAATCCGACGCACCCCCCCGAATAAATACGAATTCCGTAAGAGCGACGTATATACAGTTTTAGCAGGGAACCCCTAGCACACACGCAACACAACACAACACAATGTGGCAGGAGCTCCCCACCGACGCAGCACCCCGCAACCATACACAAGAGAAATAAGTCTTCGTTTAATGCATTATAAGAGTCTGCGCATTTTTGCGCGCGTCCTTGCTGCAGGCCCGTCACACGGGGCAACCCCGGATGGCGGACCGCCCGGTGGCAGCTGTTCATTCCGTATTGAGTCCGCGTTTGACGTCGCGAGACCCTCGGCATCTCCCGTAGCGGTGGATGGGTGCGAGCCCGTCAATCCCGGTGCACCTGTGGGCGGGACAGCCGGCGACACGTCAGGCGAGGGCAGCAGAGACGGACCCTTTGAGTCGGCCGACCCCCTACATGTTTGGCCACGCGTGTGTGGAGTGGGGCCTCGCACCGCAACGAATGGTTTAAGTCTCGAGGGGTGCACAAACCACCGGCGCTTCCCCCATTTGATGCGAACACACTGAGGCCGCAGAACCTCGACCACCTCGACAGGACCCCTCCACGGCCGCCCCAGTTTAGAGGATGTCGCGAGTGGTACCTGGGGGCAGTGCAGCCATGCCCTGTCCCCCGGCTTCCACTGCAGCACGTGCGCGCGACCCAGTCTGAGGCGCTCATTTGCTTTCTGACGCTGTTCTGAATTTAGCATGGCAGCATCCCGTGCCTCAGTCAATTTAGCAAGGTTGAATTTAACATGGTCAATTAATTTAGTTTTTCCCAGCGGCGTGGGGATCTGCAGCTGCGCCCGAATGGGTGGGTAAGGATCGCGGCCATACATGAGGAAGAAGGGTGAAAATCCCGTTGCAGCATGGGGGGCCAATCTGTATGCCGCCAAGACCCCTTGGATTTTCAAGTCCCAATCGGTCTGTGAGTCCGAAACCTGCTGTGATAACATAGACGAGATGGTGCGATGCAGACGCTCGACCATCCCGTCAGTTTGCGGGTGATAGGGGGAAGTACGAATCTTTTTTGTTCCTAGGAGCTCACAAACCTGTTGGAGGAGTTTTCCGGAAAAAATTCTACCCTGGTCGGTCAGCAACCGCTCCGGGGCACCTTTGTCCATGACATAGCCTTGGACAAAGGCGTCGACGATGGCTGCTGCCGACTGATTAGCCAGGGGCCAGGCCATAGGCCAGCGCGTAAAGTACTCGACCCCGGTTAACAAATATCTATTACCCCTAGGGGTGGCGGGGAATGGGCCCAGAATATCCAGCGCGACAAGTTCGTTTACTCTGGAGACCCTGATAGACTGCAAGGGCGGGTTTGATTCTCGTGCTGGTGGTTTCCGCTGTGCACACCGCGGGCATGAAGCCAACAGATCTGAGACATCCCTTGTCATGCCTTGCCAAAAGAAATCACGCTGGAGCAAGGCGAGGGTCTTTTGGGTACCCAGGTGGAGGAGGCGCTCATGAGCAGCCCACACCACCCTACCCCGTAAGCCCGAAGGGACCACCAGCCGGTGTCGGTGGGATTTTCCGTCCCAGTGCATCAGCAACCCCGCGTGCATTTCCCATGCGTCGGCATCACCCGATCCCCGCCCCGCCTCCCCGGCGCGACGACGCAACGCGAGGAGGGAGGTATCCTCCATCTGGAGGCGCCCCCATTCCTGAATGTGCAAACCCAGCAGGGAATCTTTCCCTTGTTGTTCAATAGAATTTGGAACAACTGTCCCGCCGTCGGCGGCGGCCGCAAGGACCGGAACCGACACGTCCCCTGCTGGCTTGCAACGTCCCGACCCCAGGAGGCATGCACATTCCGAGGTGGTTGGCATGCGCGACAGAGCGTCCGCGTTGGTGTGGCGAACGCCCTTACGGTATGTGGTGTCGAAATCAAAATCCTGGAGGATCTCCAACCATCGCAGGGCGTACTGCAGTGCCGCATGATCTGTGCGGACGGTGAAACGCCGACCGTACAGATATGGGCGATACTGTTGGGTGAAATAGACAATTGCCAACAGTTCTCTGCGGGTGACACAATATCTTTGCTCTGCTTGAGACAACACCCGACTGCCGTACGCAACCACCCGTTCGACGCCGTCAACCACCTGGGAAAGCACGCCCCCAATACCCGTGTTGCTCGCATCGGTGTCGAGCAGAAACGGTTTTGAAAAATCGGGGTAGATCAAGGGAGGAGCTTTTACCAGGGCATCCCGAAGGGAGCAAAAAGCAGCATCCTCCTCTTGACCCCAGTGGAACCAAACCCCTTTTGATGTTAATGCGTGTAGGGGTTTGGCAATTGTTGCAAAGTCGGCGACGAACCGTCTGTAATATGACGCGAAGCCGACGAAACTCCTGACCTCTCCCACCGAGGTGGGAGTCGGCCAGGAGCTGACACACTGCGTTTTGGCGGGATCGGTAGCAATACCCGAGCGCCCTACGATGTGGCCCAAATAACGCACGGAATCGCGTAACAAATGACACTTTTGGGGCTTGAACTTCAAATTAGCAGCCCGCATCTTTAGGAAAACCGCCCGCAACCTCTGGAGATGTTCGTCAAAAGTTTTAGCGAAGACAATAACATCATCCAAATAAATCAGGCACGACTCCCATTGCAATCCAGCCAAAACCAATTCCATCAAACGTTGGAAGGTTGCCGGCGCTGAGTGTAAGCCCATCGGCAACCGGTTGAATTGGAACAGGCCGTGCGGTGTACGGAAAGCAGTTTTAGGTTTCGATTCATCATCCAGAGGAAGCTGCCAGAATCCCGAAAGTAAATCCAGCGTGGAGAAGAATCGCGCTCCCGCCAAGGCGTCCAGCGATTCGTCCATCCGTGGGAGCGGGTATGCGTCGGCAACCGAAATTTTGTTAAGGCGCCGAAAATCAACGCAAAACCGCAACGAGCCGTCCTGCTTTTTAACCAGGACGATCGGCGCTCCCCAAGGGCTGGTAGAGGGAGAAATAATGTCGGCGGCTAACATGTCATCAACAGCCAATTTGACATGGTCCTTTTCGGCGGGACTCAACCGAAACGGATTTTGGCGAATTGGCGCGCTGTCACCCGTGTCAATATGGTGACGCAGCAGATGAGTACAACCCAAATCGTATTTATTCCGACTAAAAACGTCGGAAAATTCCTGCAGTAGCGATCTAAGCTGTTGGCGCTCTGAATTTTACAGGTCCGTCGATCCCGCACAAAGCGCGTCGAGCCACCCGTCATCGCTGTCCGAATGTGGGTGCAGTCGGGCGGCGGTGCCGACATGATTCGCAACCGGTTCCTCGCAGGGCATCGGCGTCGCGTGCGCAAGCACCGTCCCTCGAGGAACTACAACAGTTTGCGATCCCAC